ATTAAAGTCTAAATCCAGTTTCTTTTCCWGTTATCATTTATAAATAGGACATTTTTCAGGTTTGTGTTGTCTGATTTACTTTCCTTGGAGCTGCAATATTTACATCTTTATATGTTTAGTTAACTATCTGTTAAAATATCTCAAGAGCGACTGCATGGTTTTACAAAACCTTCAGAGAATATCATTGACTTTTGAAAACAAAACAATGGCTGCAACTCGTTCATTTTTACAGATAATAAGCTACAAGTTGATGTGGTTTTAAAAGTCATTAATGTGAGTGGGACTTTTCACCAAACTGGACAAGATTGCACATAATGTTATTTTCAATGTTTAAACGAAAGGTATACAAAGAAATTCTTGTATTTTCACTGAATTGCTGTAGGAGTTTGTCTTAGTTTAGGCATTTAGAAATCACCGGTAGTTTGATTTAAAATAATATCAAATATTAAAATTGATTTTGTCATAAGATGATGCAGGATTATCAGTGTTAGCAGCATTCAAGGACACCATTTAGCAGTTGCTTTTGTCTCAGGATGATGATGTCACAGAAATCGAGCATCGACAGCAAAGGCTGTGTTCAGTTCTGCAATACTTAAATGTAGACTTCAACATTCACCCAGAACATTTAAGATTTAACTTTTACTTTTAGATTTCCGCATTTATATTAAGAATTTAAAAAATACATATATTATTTAACATTTAAATTTAACATTCAKTAAAAAARGTAAAATGTGAGAACGGTGAGCTAAATAAGAAAATGTTGGTTGAATTTTTTAAATTAGGATTTTACACTCATGAAGTAAGCAACATAGCATAACAGTTTTATGACTGTAGTAAACTGGAATAATGCATTTTCATAGAACTGTACAACAGAACATTGTGTTTCACTTACGTTGAAGATGTTTCTTCAAACATACGTGACAAATGATAGAAACAGACAGCAGCTTATTCCAATATTCAGCAGATATTTACTCATATTTAATGAACATAGAGCAAACGTCTGAACTGGAGTTGCTTTTATGGCTGTATCTCTGTGAGAACCAGTGTGTTTCACATCTGCAGCTCATTTTCAGGCTGAGGTTGGAAAGTCGGACCATTGCAGCATCCAGATCCCTGGTCCTACTTAAACATGCAGTTTCTGCCTGCTCAGCACCTCTGAGACAGAACTTTCTCATCCTGTCCTCTAGATGCTCAGACACTTTAACAGAAGGAGGTTTACAGAATTTAATCTCCATAAACTGAACATTAGAATTATGGTTAGATTTCTTTTTAGCCTCCTGGGCTTGAACACATGGCAGCTGAGACMACTTGATCCACTAATCCACTAACATCAGGTAGTTTAAGATTTATTACTTGATCTCTATCACCACCTAGTGTAAGGAGGGTGTAAAGATGCTTAAAGAACCTGAACACCAGCTTGGATCTCGGTTAACATCCTCTTTATGGTGTCCTTGATTTACTGTGAAACGTTGCACGGCAGAAGAACAAGAAAGCCCAGGTTTAGAGGAGTCTGGAGACTTAAATGCAGAGTTGTAAAGTAACTAAGAACGAATACTTTGTTACTGTACTTATGTAGAATTTTTGGGTATCTGTAGCTACTTTATTGAGTAATTATTTTTCAGCCTACTTTTTACTTTTACTCCTTACATTTTCACACAATTATCTATACTTTCTACCCCTTACATTAAAAAAGGCAAGAAGTAGAAAGTCATTACTTTTTTCATTTTTGCTTTTCATTCCAGCTTCTTATTGTAAAAAGTAAATAATTGAGCCTCCTCAATAGTGAATTTAATTGTGGTTGAATGATAAGTATAAATACATACAATTCTGATATCATAATATTTTGTACAGAAACAAATAATGTGAATGTTCTGATATACAGCGGGTAAAATAAGTATTAAACACGTCACCATTTTTCTCAGTAAATATATTACTAGAGG